AAGTGAGTATAGTATGATACAACTTCCAAAGTGCTATATTCAGTAAATAAAAAATAAAGAATAAACCATACTGGATTCTTTGGAATTTGTATCATGCTACTCTTGTTAAATTACCAATATGGTAGTACTAAAGTAGTAGTTTTTTTTTTGTTTTTTATCTTTTCCCAACTCAAAAAATTACCTCTTTAATATATACATTTTTTTAAATGTATGGCCTCTCAAATCAATTAAATAACACCTGTAAATGCTTAGAATGCTGGACCCCCAACGGGGTTTTGGCCCTGGACCCCCAGGGGCCTTTGGCGGCCCCCCTGGCCCCTGCCAATGGTGCTCACAAGTGCGCTTTCAGTATCAAAAAGAACCCCCCTACCAAAATCCTGGCTACGGGCTTGATTACAGTACTGCTACAATTAGTAACTATTTATTATAATACAGGTCTCCCTCCAATTAAAGACCACTTTTGAGACTGGTGTTAGCATGTCTTTAGCAGCTTTGGTCTTTAATTAGAATAATAAATATAAAAGACATTTGTTAATGTGGGACAACAAAAAAGTGGTCTTTAATTGGAGGTTAGAAATTCTGTAATAAAATCAGAATGAGAGAATGAAATTTAAAATAAAAATAGTAACATCATTACATAATAAATAATAATGTATTTCTTCTATTTTCTAACTTGATTATTTTCAATGTCATCATCAATATTTTGTATGAACTTTTTTTTATTTTCTTTTAAAGATTTCTAGCAGCTTATTTGCCTAAATGACTTCCCTTTATACTCGATGAGTAGCTCTATACAGCTCACTATTATACCTCTTAAGCCGTGTCCAGACCATCAAATTTTATTTGACAAATATATGTGACATGCCTAAATAAGGCCATGATGACATCACATTGTGACCATGTATAGGCACATCAAGACTATATATGGGCATACAAAAGTTTTTTGTCAAAGAAAATCTGATAAACTGGAACATAAGAAAGCCATTTCCATAATTTACCTTGTGTATTCTTTCTGTTTTACTTAGCTTTTCTTCCCATGTAACTGACATTTGTTTCATTAGTTTTTCTGATTCTTGAAGTCGCTCCTTGAGATTGTCAGCTTTCAGGCTCTAAAAATAAGATAAATATTATAAAACGTCATTACTGTTATCATAATAATAATAACTAGACTTACTATGTCTGTTTAAACAACAGAATATAGGGCTTTCCCCATTGCATTAATGAGAAATGAAGTTGAAATTGCAACAAAAAGAAAAGTTGTTAAAAGGTATAAAGTAAAAAAAAAACATGAAAAAAAAAAAAAAAACGAAAACCAAGTTCACTGCGACGTTATTATTGAACTATGGCTGCAATGGTAATAGCGAGGTACATCGTGACTTATAACCATTGCGCGCCATATGAACCAACCCTACATAGGAAAGTGCATTTTTAGTTCATAGCGATTCAATAACTGAAAGAAAAAATTGTTCATGCATATCAGGGTAGTTTTGAGTTTAACCTAGATGTAACTGGTTTAAGTGCTTTAGAAAACGCAAATTGCGTTTAAATAATTTAATCAACTGTCAACAAAAAATCTTTAAATGATCCTCATATCCACACCCTACAGCGGATCTTCACCAAAATTGGATCATTTCACCATGAAAAACTATTCTGCAAAGTGTCATTTTTATCCATCTATAACTGGGACGTAAGCAATTAAAAAGGCCCTCAAATTTACACCCTAACCTGGATCGTCCCCCTACACATAATAATATCTTACTTGTAAATTGAGTTTTTGAAATATCTGGTCTGGGACACTTTCCTTTAAATGGTCCTAATATTCACTCCCGATTCGTCGCCAACACATAATACTATCTTCCTTCTAACTTGGTTAAACTTTTTCCGAATGTTTCATTCAGATCAGTTGATCCGTTTTCGAAATATGTGGTCTGGGACGTTTTCCTTTCAATGGTCCTCAGATCTACACCCTACTCCGGATCGTCACAAAAATTTAATCATTTCTTTAGTTGACATTGACAAACTGTTATACAAGGTTTAAATTATACCCATTCATTTTTTTTAAAGAGATATTTAGGTCTGGGTCCTCAAAAATTAAAATGACCCTCCAATTTACACCCTTGACTGATTCGTCGCCAGCAAATAAAAATTTCTTCCTTGTAACTTGGTTAAACATTTTCTGAATGCTTCATTCAGATCAGTTGATCCATTTTCGAAATATGTGGTGTGGGACGTTTTCCTTTAAATGGTGCTCAAGATCCACACCATACTGCGGATCGTCACAAAAATTTAATCATTTTTTACAAGACCTTTACAAAGTATTATAGAATGTTTCGTTTAAACCCACTGGTTTTTTTTAAAGAGATATGTAGGTCTGGGTCCTCAAAAATTGAAAAGAACCCTCAAATTTACACCCTTCACTGGATCATCACTAACACATAAAAATTTCTTCCTTGTAACTTGATTAAACTTTCCTGTAAGTTTGATTCACATCAACTGACCGCTTTTTGAAATATCCGGTGTAGACTGTTTGACCTTAAATCATTTTAATTGGTCCTCACACGCACATCCCACCATAGATTGACACTAAATATTAGGAGGCACATCCTTGATATATGGCCTATGCTTTGGCAAAGCACAGAAAAATCCTAAGTATGGGAAGTTACCAAAGTGATGGCCAGAAAAACACAGTGCAAAAAGATAGGAAAAATATATGCAAGAAAAAAAAAAAAAATCAGAAAAAAAAAATC